TCCACCCTGGGAGGCGTCTGTCTGTCTCTGTCCTCAGATTGTCCTCCTTATCATCATCGTCATCATCACCTGGCCGCTGGATTAACAATCATCTCAGATTATAGGCCTAATAAGCCCCAAATCACAGGTTCAAGGGTCACGGAGTCACAGCTGATACCCATGATCCTCCACTGTAGACAGTCTGATCATTAATAAATAAGAATCATATCAGGAAATTATGACGTGGCTTTAAATTCTTAAAAAAAAAAACTAGGTTGTGACGTCAACACGTCGTTTTCTTGATTCTGAGAAAAATACAGTAAAAATGAAAATATTCTCCAGTGAGACACAGAGTGATTGCATCTGTGTCCAGTGCTCTGTTTGCCGAGCCGGTCTTATCTGCAGCGCGGCCGCGGCGGTGCCATTAGGACTGTAATGATTCACTTCCAAACCTGACGAACATCAAACGACCAACAACAATGAGGCCCAGACTCCGCCGTCTTTAATTCTCCATAACAAAAGTACAAAGGCCGGTGGAGCAGACCAAAGGCTGAGGCTCTAAACACTTTAACACCTCCGTGCATGGACGCAGGCGCCGCGCCGGCCTGACGCGCACAGCCGCAGCCGCAGCCGCAGAGGCAGAGGCAGCCCCGGCAGGAGCAGAGAGGAGCAGACAGAGGAGACACGGTGTGTGGGTGGTCACACACACACCTCATCACCTCCTACCTCTACCAGCCTAACAGACAGGGAGTGTGTGTGTGTGTGTGTGACAAACGTCCACAGGTAAAGGTGCTGCCGACCGACCGGGCGGAGCTGCTGGGTTTATTTATACATTTATATTTTTTATATTTTTTATTTTCACGCCCAAAGGAGATCAACCTGATGCGTAAGTAAACTCTGACGTCACTTTTCTAATTGTAATCAAATTCCTAATTAGCATTAAATACACGGAGTCCTGATGCAGAGGCGTCGGTCTGACTGTTTAACCGACTATAGTTGTTATGTGCAAGAAAAAGGAGAATTCATAAAAATCGATATCAATGTTTACGGTAATATTGTAGGTGTAGCATCGACGTGAATCGTCATATTGTAGACTGTTGACGTTGAAAATATATCGAGTGTTGAAAGTGGAATACACATAAAGTAAGACAAATATTTCTCCACGTCCAGAAATAAAATAAAAAAATCTGGATATGGATAAAAAATACATGGCTTTAAATTACGTCACAACTAATTATTTTAATAACTTAAACTAACTTAAAGTGGTTCACTGTAATAATAATAATTATTATAATGATAATAATAATAATGATGATGGTGTTGTAGTGTCGGAGGGCAGACAGACGCCGGTGCTGGAGCAGCAGCAGCAGCAGCAGCAGCAGCAGCAGCAGCAGCAGCGGGATTCGTGCTCACGTGTCCTACTGGACCACGGCCGTCGGCACCGCACCGCGTTCACGCGTGAGCAGCTGTCCCGCCTGGAGCAGGAGTACGGCAAGGAGAGCTACGTGTCGAGGCCGCGGCGGTGCGAGCTGGCGTCGGCCCTCAACCTACCGGAAACGACCATCAAGGTGAGGCAACAGCCTGTCAGTCAGGTTCCCAACCACCGGGGCATGGACCGGGGAGGGCAGTGCAGTTAAACGATTATCAAAACTATCAGCTCCTTCTGACACTTCAAGAATTCCTGTCAGAATAAAAGCTTCGCTTTCAAAATAAAAGACAGTTCCATTTGCAGTAGGACCTTTCACACCATGTATTATCTCTGAAAATATATAGAAAAAATATATATTTTGTATATATATATACACTAAAGTACATGTCTTTCACAGTAACTGCTGCTCACTGTTCAGATAGTACTACGACAGGTAGTATTCATTAAATCCTCAAACCACATACTCTACACACAAATACACAAACATTCTTTTCTTTGAAAATGTAGCGGAAAAATAATTCAATAACACTGTTTACCACTAGGGGCGCCTGATTAGGCCTAATATTACTGGTCAGGTCCGTTAACGCTGCTCACTCTGAGTCTGAATCTGCTGTTGGTCCTCCACATTATTCAATATCCTTCCACCACCGAGAACACATGTTCCACTAATCAGGACTCATCGCCTCCAACTACACAAACATTATCAAAAGAAGAAGTCGACTTTTTGTTTCTCTGCTGTGAAGCGTTCCGACTGTGGTCACAGAGTCTGACTGTTGTCACGTTTTCATTGTTTCACTGATCACTAACATTCACTGCTGCTCAAAAAAAAAAAATAAAAACACTTGTTGCTGAAACATTTCACAACGTGGCACAAACCCCGTGAGCGGGGGCCAGCAGGCGGCCTCTTCACACATGGTCATCATGGTCTTCATCAGCGTGTTGTCACAGAGAACTGTGGAGCTGTAACCGATCCCAGTCCCTGACAAACCCAGAGCCCGACAGCTGATCTGTGAACGGAACCGTTCCCGGTCTCGCTGTAACGCCGTGAGTTCTGCAGCTGCGACTAAATTTAGACGTCTGTGAAACAGACACTCTGACGGAGGAGGACATGTGTTTTCAGACCCGCAGGAGAAGTTTAGATGCTTTCTGAACATCAACTTAAACATTAATAGAGCACAGGGGTCACCGTCAGACAGCGGAGGACCGGGGGCCGGGGCCCGGAGACTGTGGTGCCTTTATTAACAGTACCAGAACTGTTGTTGACTCTGTTGAGCTGGGATAAGAGCAGAGTTGACTTGCCCTAGATTATGGTTTGGCGCCCTTTACCCCACGCTTTTGTACATTTATTTTTAAGAGCATCAACATCAGCCCCACCAGCAGGGGGCACCATAGGCAACAGTTTTTTATAGTCTAGCTGGAGCTTGGACTGAGGCAGACTAATGATGAGTTCTTGTTTTTGATTGCCAACCCTACAACTCCCCCTCAGAGGTTTGGGGGACACCTAAATTTGCAGCCACCCTGCCTCGTCTCCCCCGTCCCCTCCGTCCCCCCCGCCTCTCTGACGTCTCCAGGTGATGAGCTTTTTCATCTTCTTTCATTTTCTATTTCAATCGCAGCAGCAGATTGTGAAG